AAAGTTCCAATCTATGAGACTCACGCACCGAACAGCGACTTTTTTAACTTCATCAAATATTATAGATCATGTATTATGCGAGATACTTTGTCTGTAATTCAAACCGTGACATAGAATATTACTCGATTGATTGATAAACAATAATGTTCAAGGAAAAGTGAAACAAATACAAATTGAACTGACAATTCGACGCGTGTAAACTAAAAGTTTTCAAAGGCCATAGTCAAATTAAACGCTTCATTTGCTCCAGCTGAAAATTGCGTAACGAATGCCAAATGCACAGAAAACCACAAAAGCAGCACCACCTTCTCCAACTCCAACTCCAGCTTAAGTGGCAGGCTCGACTTCATTAGATTGTAATAAACGCGCGCTGGTTACAGCCCAACAACAGCAAAGGCAACAAAAATATAAAAAAAAAAAAAAAACTGACAGCAACATAAAAACTTAAGAAAAATCTAAGCTCAGCTTATAAATGCAATTTCGTTCGCACAATCTTCAATGGACTTCATTAAAATATTCGAAACACAAGCAGTTTAAGCCCCAAGACACCCTCCTCAAAAAAACGAAAAACTTGTCAGACGCACTATAAACGCGACGTTGCCGAACCGCCCGATTGCAACTTGAACTCAAAGTGGACGCTAGGATGGTAGCAGAGAGCGAGACACAGTACAAGAGAGAGAGAGAGAGAGAGAGAGAGAGAGAGAGAGAGAGAGAGAGAGAGAGAGGGAGACAACGAGAGACCGGGCAGACTGTGGCGAGTCGAGAGTTCAGAGGTCTAATTGAAAATGCGCAAACTTGAAGAAATATTGAGAGAGTTGCAAATGTATGTATATCCATTACCATTAGAACTCAATTTGCTCGCATGGCGCACGCATTCACAAAGACGCCCACAAGCAGTTCCGAATACCCTTACCCCCATCCGCCCTTCCGATTCACACCCAGCTACTCTGTGCAATGCGCTGCCTTGCGAAATTTATAACACGGCGGGCAAATTGGGGCCAACTTGTGACAATTTACGATATTAATACTAAATATTTGTGCCCCGTCGAGATTTACGGTTTGTGGCACAAAAAAAAAATGCGAAAAAAACACACTAAGGAATGTAAAAAAGTGCCCAACTAGGAGATTCCACGTATCCAGCTTGCGCAAATAGGGAACAATGTTTAACCTTACTAAATTTAAATTTGCTCAACATTTTCGGGGGGATGATGTAAGTAAAAGGTATTAGACTGTTGATTTGCATAAGCGGATACGCGAGTCGGCAAATCAAATTCTCTTTATCTCCAATTTATATTATTATAATTCTTCGACAATCGATAATTGTCGATGTTATGCAAAGATAGAGAATTATCGTAAGACAAGGTTTAATTCGTTCCATGTATGGTATATATATTTAAAAATTCAATTCTCGATCGACTACCTCATTAAGTCGACTGCCTGTTACATTCATTTGCACACAATCATAATACCCCATCGAAGCGATTATCAATGGATATAGGGTATTATAATCGGGATTATTTTGAGCTTTATGCGTTTTTATTGTTTGCTTGCCATAATTTCAGCGCTTAAGCGTTCCCAGACATTTGCCAGCCAGAAACTGCGCATAAAGTGGAGCAGGCCATCAAATTTTATGATAATTGCAACCTGGCGAGCGACTGACAAATGAAGTGATTTTAAATTTTTCATTTACCGATTGCAATCCGCACATGCATATGTATGCTTGTATATATACATATATAGTAAAGTTTCTTTATTTATGTTTATTATTTATTTCGCCCAGATTTAATTATAGACGTTGCCAAATCTTGAGTGGGGCAAGCGAAATGCTGTTGCCGCGCCCCGTTAACAAAAATTTAAATAAAATGATTTTATTTTTTTTTTTATATTTCCGATAATATAAGAAAGAAATCATCGTAAAAATTTCACCCAGCCGCGCGTAGAAATTTCGATGCGCGGCAATTAAGCGATCAGAGCTCAAATCTGATCACTGGGAACCAAAATAGCCCGAAAAACCCATAAGATGAGGCGTACGCAATGGAAACCCTTTTAGGTCAATGAATTTGTTATCATCAAACTGTAACCGAAACGAACGTCATGCACATTTGCATGGCGGAGCGTGGAACGCAAATTACAAATTCGAAATTTACGAGACCAAAAACAACGAACAACAACTTTAATAAGCAACACAAGCAGCTAAGACAAAAAATACTTAGACAAAAAAAAAACAAAAAAAACAACCACATTGACGTGCCTGACATAGAAATCTGCACCGTTGGCTATTAGCAATTAACTGGGGCTATTATGAGTCGTAGCCGACAAACATATTTGACGTGCTACAAGCAGAAGAAGATCGAAACGAATCGATCGCTGCCAACGATCAAAGGCGGAGTTTGCCACACAGCGGGGTGGGCAGGTGGGCTAAGATAAAGCTGAATCTTGGGGGCAGTGCGCATAAAAAGCCAAATGCCATAATAGCCAAATTAATCAGTCACAGGTAACAACCCAGCAACCAGCAACCAGTAACAACAACAACAATAACAACCAGTCCCAGAAACGTCCCGTTGTCTGCGCTGATGACTTAACAAAAATGTCAAAATTGAAAAAATTTCGAGAATCAATTTAACGAATCTTATATGCCCTGTAAAGCTAACCAATAATAATATCATAATGTGTTGAATGATCTTGTTAATAGTCTCCCTCTAAATAGTTTTTAAGTTAGTTTCAGACAATGTTCTATTGAAGCCAGGAAGATCCAAAAAGCGTGAAAAGCGACTCAATGAACAATATCAGAGCTTTATAAACGAATTTAAGGCTGATCTTTTGGTAAGCAAAAAATATCCATAAAATCGTTTTCCGCCAATTTTTCACAGATGTAGGTCGAATTTGCCACATCGCCTACTGTTTCTCTATTCTCTATATATAAAGTTGTCAGCAAGTTGTCATTACAAACTGCATTAAAATTCCGGCATGCCCAATTCAGTTAGGGCACTTAAAGTTTACTTATGAACACATAAAAGGGATTTGTCAGACATATGATTGCCAACTATGCAAAGTGTGTATGGCAGAAACAGTTGGAGCTCCATTGTTTGGCTTTCAATTGAAGGTGGGTGGTTGGTTGGCTGGTCTTGGTCTCTTGATTTGAAGCGCCCGCGGCTGTGGCTACCGTTTTTGCCGCTGAAGCTGACAAAATGTAATTGTTATACTATAGGCGCAAAAATGATCTTAGTGGTGCCATCAATAAAGGCCGTTCCACAGCCTGACAGCTGGACGGCCTGAACGAGAGCCAGAGCCAGACCGAGACTGGCCAGCAACGGGAAAATGCGACGCATGAATGTTAATTGAAATATGCGTATGACTGATGGACGGACGGGAAGTTGGTGCGATCTGAACTGGGTAGCTATCCAGTTGGCTATAGCTGGAACACTTGGCTAGCTGATGGCGGCTGATGGCGATGGGACACTGTGCACAGCTTTCACAATTATTGATTGATTTATTGATTGAAATCTGCGCAGCAAGCAACTGAAGATGTTGCGACTGTTTTGCCAAGTTTTCTGCTGTCTACAAATTGAGCGAGCGAACGGCCAAGTTCGTTGCCTAAGTTTTTCAGCATTTGGCGCCCAGCCGCGGCGCCGTCGCCGTCGCCGTTGCCATTGCCAGAGCACGGTGCACGAAACCAAACAATAAATAATTAAAGCAATTAAAAATGCTAAAAACAAACATTTAACAAGCAGCGCCAGTTAAAAATTGTTGAGTGTACCAACATTTGGGCGAACCCGAAAAGAAAAAATAAAAAAACATTCCGCACAAAACAAAACGAAAAAGAAAAACTCTATATACTTATCTTGGCCCCAAATCGGGTCTAAATGTTGCACATTTATCAAAGACCCCTGCGTAAAAAAAGGTCAACGCACAGTTATGCCATGTTCTGGTTCTTGTTATTGTTGTGCGGCCTTTGGTACTCTATGTACAAACTATTTCCGCTCAAGACTCGGGCTAACAACAAGCTAAAATATCTGGGAAATGGGTTCGCAAAACTTACGAGCAACAAACAAAATAGAAAACCTTAAAAAAAATACGATTTGGTTTTTTTGCACATGAAATCTAATTTTTTGGCACTAAGGCAATTAAAATGAATTTGTGCGGTTCGAGATACAGTATCTGTATCTCTAGCCTATACACAGGCACACAAATTATACGCGAAGTGTTATGTGGAAGCGCAACAGGCAAAATAAGCAAAGAACAAGGAAGCCAGTAAGAACAGCTTTAGTGGAAGACCGAATATCAAATACTCTTGCTGAGCTATTCAAACAAACACACGTCAAGTGTGAAATCACCCAAACTGAACCTACAGCCAAATTATTTAAATAAAGAACAGCCGAACTAAAATTTGTTTTTCATTAAATAGTTTTTCAGCATATTAGTAAACCTTTCAACACTTTTTTGGTTGCAATATTACGGCATGGACTATTTTCAACCTTTAGCAGCTATGAGAGCTATACGGTATTATAATCCAATCTAAGCGCTGCCAAAACTTGAAAGACCCCTCAGTAAGGGTATAAAAAGTACATACTTTAAAGAGGAAACTCATTCAATGTTTAACTCGCCTGTGAGTGGCTTGTGGCTCGTTATCTTTCGCGAAAAAAAACCTTTCTGCCTGATATGCAAATAAGTTTGATATACAACATAATTAAATTTCATTACAGCAACGCCCCGTCGAACTGCGTCGCTTTGGGCTGGTTCGAGTGGACGTTCTGTGTACCTGTGGCAGCACGTAACAAATTGCCAGCAATTAGTGGGGGGTATCTCAGCTGCGAATGATCTGGCAGACGACGCATCGTTCTGTCGCTGCAATCGGCCAGCAGCAAATTAATGCGCGATGCCAAATTGGAGCTGCCAAATGCATTCTCAGCTGCTTTTGCATTAAGCTAACTTTATAAAGTTGTACAATGAAATGCACAAATTAATTGAGACAGATTGTTTTTAATGTCATTTGTACTTACCATTTTAATTAATCGCCTTTCGATGATCGCTTAACCTTTCAACCTCCAATGAAACTTCTGCGAATGCTGGAAAAGAAACCGTTTAGAAAAATAAGTTTAAGAAAGATAAAGATTGAGAATATATAATAAATTAATTGATTTTGCACTATATTTTATATCATATAATACACGTTATCCTTGCCTAGAGGGAATGTATCATTTTTTGTCCACTTTCTTATTAAAATATTCAGCGTCAATGCAACTATTATGTATGTGTGTATGTTATGTATGTATGTATATGTTTATGTAAATATGTACATTAGTTAGTATGAACGTATGTATGCATGAAAGCACATGTATGTATGTGTGTATGAGCGACGGGCGAAAATTACCCGTATTATCCGTCTGTATATATGCATGTATGCATGTTTCTATGTATGTATGTATGTATGTATGTATATATGTATGTTTGTATGTATGTATGTATGTATGTAACTATGTAGGTATGTATGTAAGTATGCATGTATGTATGCATGTATGCATGTATGAATGTATGCATGTATGCATGTATGTATGTATGTATGTAGTATGTATGTATGTATGTATGTATGTATGTATGTATGTATGTATGTATGTATGTATGTATGTATGTATGTATGTATGTATGTATGTATGTATGTATGTAACTATGTAGGTATGTAAGTATGCATGTATGTATGCATGTATGAATGTATGCATGTATGCATGTATGCATGTATGCATGTATGTATGTATGTATGTAGTATGTATGTATGTATGTATGTATGTATGTATGTATTTACGCATGTATGCATGTATGCAGCTATGCTGATATGCATATATGTGTGTATGGATATGTGTATTCGTATGTCATACCTTTGCCCAACCACAACCCTATCTAATGAGCATGTTTAAGTAAGTATGTAAGTATGTTTGTGTACAGGTGCGTGTATGTAATATACGCATGTCGCTGCCTGCTTGTGTATTGCAGCAGCAGCTTTTTTATCCACAAAACTAGCTTGCCTCTATGAATGCCGTTTTTAACAAGATTAGAAGTTCGTTGCCACGGACACAATTCAAGCAGACGCAACTATAACAATAAATATCCTTCTAGGAACGGGCAATATAAATAACGTTATTATTCGGGCAACAGCTTTCTTACTAGCTGTGGCCGGATATTACTTTGATAATCCAAATTTACCTGCTTATGTCTTGTAGGCTAATGTATATTTGTATAAACTAAATATATACATATACAGCTTTACACAAGCATACAAAAATATTCTTTATGTACAACTATATTTTGAATGTTAAATTATATATTTATAAATATTCTTATTTAAATATTAATACACATAGATTTACATACATGTGTGCATCTGTATTTTTGCAAAAGTTCACATGCAGCCGCACACTTATTTTACTGTCCATTAATTAGAGTGAGGGAGATACTCTGTTACACACTAAAGGAAAGCGGTTAAGACAAGGCGAAAGAGAGAGGAATAAAATGAGATATGTGCACATGTATATGTATACATAAATGTATGTGCATATAAACATATATAACAAAGCCGAAAGAAAGAGAAATTAATTGTGATATTCGCACATATACATAGGCATATGCATATGTGTATATTTGTGCATGCGTTTGTATGTATGTATGCAAACAGCTAGATTTGACGCCACCATCTCGCCATTTGACCATCTCTTCTTTCTATGCTTCTTCCAATGCGCTTTGTGCGTACGCCAGTGCACAATACAGGATAACGGTTATGCATAGGGAGCCACAGCACTTTTATACTGCGCCACGAATCGAAAGAACAAGCGAAAATGAAAAACGCACTAGAACATTCTTTCAATTTGTACGTTTTTTATGTATGTATGTATGTACAGACATATTATACTGAATTTATTATATCAATTTATAAACTTACACATGCACATATGTACATTTACTTATGTATGTACGTTTCTATATGCATTTCACAAACGCTGCGCACTTTATTTAAAAAAAAAACACGCACGCCCACACACAAATGGCTTTTGCACGGTAGCATTGCCCACAAATACAAAAACAAAAAAAAGGAACTCAATTAAAAAAAAACACACACACAAAAAAAACATTTATTTTATTTGATCTTAGCAACTTAATTACCGAAATTAAATATGGTTTGATCCACATGGCGTTAGCAACAGAGAAAGAATTGATCCCATCGCGTAAGTGATGAGCGAGAGAGGGGCGGTATAAAAGGCATAAATAAGCGGGCAGCAACAAAGTGATCTCGTTGTCTCTCTCACCCGACTTCGGCTTTCACTTGCATCGCTCATTTGCTTTGCTTACATTAATTGTCATTCTCTTTTTGTCTTGCTCTCTTAACAGCGTTTGTATTGCAATGAAGAGAATATGTATGTGCGAAAGGAAATAAGCAAGCTCATTCTTAGCAGACTGTATGTAAGTATGTCATTTTATACCAAACTCAGGGGAATTTTTGCGGACATATTTAAATATGCGTATATGTATATACATTCATACATTTTAATAAGAGTATATGTATGTTATTGCAATTCAGACTCAATATCTGATAACCTATTTCATTTATTCATAGTTACAATTGAGTAAATTGAATATTCTAGCCTTAATAATACGATTAATCAGATATGGATCAAAGTTGTGCGACTAAATCCCTCTATTAGAAGCCCACTTCCTGCATCCTAATAGTAATATTAATGAGTATTCGATGCAATCTACCCGACTCACGACACGCATCGACATCGACCCACGTTCTGCGCAGAAGAGCTCGTTGGCCCGCTTCTCGCTGACCCGATAAGTGGAAATGTAACTCATCTGGAAAGCACTCCCATTTGGCTGGCATATGGCGGCCCACGAGTGACCATGACAACAAAAGGGCCACCTTTTAGTTCCAATAATTTACCAATTAATCATATTACTCAAGCTGAATCAACTCGCCGTCTGCTTGCTGGGCGAACGCCTCTTGGACAATAGGTGCTGATTGCTGCCCCCTCACACTCCGTTCACCTGCAGCCCACAGCATTGCGTCGGAGCATGAACATGAAACGAGCGTATAGAGCCTGGCACTGCCCTGGACGTGATAAATGATTTCGATTAGTTTGTTCTTGTAATTCGACGCCTATAAATGGGTCTATGATTGAGCGCAGACGACTTCGTTTACGTCAGGCGTTGTCCACATCGTCGCTCCCCGGCTGCACCCTATATGCTGTGGAACAACTTGGTTGTTGTTGTTGTTGTTGTTGTTGCCTGTAAGTCATTTGACAAATTGTCTATAATTGAAAGATTAGCTTTCCACACACAACGCGGTTGACGTCGAGATGAAGAACAAGTCGACTGAACTTGAAGTCGGAGTTGCTCTGGCTGTAGCTGTTGCTGTTCCTGTTGCTGCAGTGGGAACCTGGCTTTCGATCCAACTACAACTGGCTGTTCCCTGCACTCGGTTCCCCTCTAGGTAAGTTTATACGTTTCTTATCAGCTGACTTGCATCTGTTGCGCGTTGCGAGGTTTTATTAATCAAATGCACAAAATGGTTTTAGGGGCTGGCGAGTAGGTGGAGCGTGTTTACATAGGCAGCCAAACAAGTGCCAGCCTCCATCTTCTCCTCATCCGCCTCCTTCTTCTGCTCGCTCCAGTGAGCTCCTCTCAGTGTGTACACGTAATTGGAAATGGTGTGAAATTCGCGTGCCAAGAGCAATGAAGCCACTTACAGAGTTGAAGAGAGAGACAGAGAGAGCGGAGTAGAGGCATCTACTTCAGGTGTGCATGTACAGGTGTGTCTGTGTGTGTGTGTGTGTGTGCTGACAGAGACTTGACTCTTTAGCAGCCCACCAAACACGCCGCAGAAGGGAACCTAACCGTACCAGCCCGAACGGAACGGAAAGAAACGCAAGGCTCATCGGATTTTGTAATGCGTGAAACATGTCAGCGCAATGCGATTGCTTATCGCTGTCAATTATTCAAGAGGCAGTCACTAGACAGTCTTACAAATTACCCTCTTAAATGAAACAAAATAAAATAAAAGGCTGACTCGAATGAGGGGCAGCATGAGCTGTGCAGCGGTAGGAGTGTGGGGCAATGGGGGAAGCGGAGTTGAAGCATTGTAAACTATCAAAAATTTAAATATGCTGTGTTTTCCTAGTAAGACTCTGTGCTCGGCCTTTGCTAATATTAATTAAAATCTTACAACATATAAATATGTGTTTAATCCGTGAAAATTAAAAACATGTAAGAGTCTCTAGTCGTGAGTTCCCGACTAGTGGATACCCTAAATCCTCTTCTTTCTAGAAGCTACATAGGAGATTTTCTCAAAAATTGCTTGGAAACGGAATTATCAAGAACAAACTGCTAATACGCGGGAATTATGGTGCCCTATGTTCAGATCAAGATCATTTGAGATCCTTGTGTTCATACATAGGACTTGGCTGCCGTTGCTGCAGAAGGATATATATACTATATAGAGTACTATATAGAGTTACATACATTTGCACAGATACATTATACCCTCTTTAATACGAAAAATGACTAAAAAGAATATTTTTAATGTTAAGAGATAATTTTCTGATTACAATTCTAAAGTGATATAGGCTAGAAGAAATATGTAATGTGAATGAATTGCATTTCAGAATTTAAATTCCAATGATAATTTCATTTATTTTATCAAGTAAATTTGTAAATATTTATGGTATTTTCCGGCATTTCACCCACACGCAAGTATTAATTATTTTTAAGTCTTATGTACATTATTAAATTGTTTCCCATGCCTTGAGGCCTTAATATATATATATAATAAATATTCTATCAGTCCGCACAGACGGTTTTATTTAGACAAATTGGCTAATTCGCATTAGTTTGAATCCTCTCGATTAGTCTTAATATATGAGGCACATCTAAATTGAATTCCACCCAAGCTTAAAGTTGCTCGATTATTTATGCACGGAAAATGAATTGCTGTGAGACAATGTCTTCTTTATGCTTCTATAAGTCGCTGTAAATCCACAGCTCAATTTATTGTTCTACTTGTTGTCTGGTGTAA